AAGGAGGCACCGCCTGCCAAGTTCAACCCCCACCGCTCCCTCCCCGAGCGCTCACACTCGAAGGAAGTTGCACGCCAAATGCAAAACCTCCGGCGAGCAGGATTTCTTTGCACTTTTTTTTATTATTATAATTAAAGAAAGCAGGGGGTGGCAGGCCTAAAAGCAAGTCGCCGGAGAAATAGTAAGTTGCGGGCGAAGTACGCCCACCCTGCATCCCAAACTCCTGACCTCCCCGTCCACCCCCTGCCCAGGGCCTGCGGCCAAGTTCCCGGTGGAGGCCCCGCCCCCCAATCATGACATCTGCCGCCCTGGATCCAGCGCGTGGTTCACCCAGTCGCGTTCATGGGACCCCTACCCCTCCTAAGAAAACAAGACACACGCAGTGTTAAAACGTCACTCTTAAACTCGCCAGCAGTTCCCGTTACGCGCCTCCCCCACGTCCGAGGGAAACACGTGGCTCGTTCCTAAGGGGAGGAGAGGGGCGTGGGGCCAGGGGTGTCAGCACCGGGAGGCCGCCGCCAGCCACCTTCCCCTGCTGGCCGCGTGCGAAAGACTTGGGCGCTGCCGGGAAGAGCCTCCTACCTTCTGCGGCACATATTTTGATTTTTGTGACTCGGGGAAAGGCGGTGCCTTATGTCTTTAGAGTTTGGGGAGGTAACTTTTGCGCCCCCACAGGTGACAGCACTTGCCAGCTTCTGACAGAGGCGGGGGCTGCCTCAGCTCCACCTAATCCTGCCCCAGCGCTCGGCCGCAGCCACTCTCCTCCCGCCGCGCTCGATTTCTGACGGCCGCGCCTGTGCTCTGACATCTTGAAAACGATTGGGGAAGCGTGAGCCGGAAGCCGCCCGCCGCCATCTTGGTAAAGGAAGGTGACGCCAGCGCGGACCCGCGGCCGCTGTCTTGGCAAAAGTTCTAGATGGCTTAAGTCACCTTTTCCCTATCCTGAAGAGTAAACGGTGCCCTATGCGTTGTCTGATGGAAACGGAAGAACTGGGCTTTCAGAAGGCCCCTTGTTGGGAGATGATCTACAGGGGCCACCTCCAAAGGATTCTGGAGCCGCCATCTTGGCAAAGGAAAAGAGGCCGGCCAGGCTCGGAAAAGAAAAAGGGAACTAAAAGCTGTCTCAATATATTATAGAACCCTCAGCCAGAGGGACTTTCATGAAGAACGCTGAGCAACACCGTGTTGACAAAACACCCTTCCTGAAACCAGACGTTAGACCTCTTCGCCCATTTCTTGGCCCAAATCAACTAACTACAAGGAAGCCCTTACCTCGAATGCTCATGATGTCTCCTAAGAATTTTTCTGAGAATGCTACTTTATCTGTATGCCAGTTTTTTTAACCTCTGAGTCTCAAGTATTAGAATCAGATGGTTTTTGTCGATCCGATCCTCAAGCTATGAAGGGATTCATAGGAAAAAGTCAAGATCCAACCCTCTAGTATTACACATTTTCAAAGTGAGTCAAATAACTCATGCTAATACGATGATTATTGTACATCTGCCTAAAAGAACTAAGAATTTTATACACAAGGTCCTCAGAAGGTTCATGGAAAGTGTATCTTACAAAATGTCATGCATGAATTATTAAATTGTTTACACTAAACTCATGTTTGAGTTTTATTTTTTCACAACTTCTCTGATATTTCACAACTGAAACTCTGCTCTAAGAATCTCCCTCATCTCTCCTTACAATTCTAAGTGGTGGGTGTTTTTAAATAATTATAAACAATTCCCAATTAGCATTATCCTACCCATTTTTTTTACTGCAAGTTCAGCAGATATTCTTAATGTAGGGGAGAACATAGTTGTAAAATTAAATTTTTCTATTATTTTTTAATTGAGAGAGAAGGAGAGAGAAAAAAGTATTTTTTTCAAGGTCTCACTACCTTGGTATCTTCCTGCCCCAACCTCCTAGTTAGGTACCACTGTAGGCACTTGCCTAATTAGATTGGACCATGAATCTAATCTGGGTCTCCCGTAGTAGTGCCCTCCCACTTATGCCAGGGTGCCTAGTGAGAAAGTGAAAGATCAGCACACACATCATGATCTTTCCCCAGTCTTCCCAGCCAGCTTGGACATAGGCACTGGTGTCCACCATGTAAATGTCAACCATAAAACAAAACTCTATCTTCTAAATGGATCCATTCTCACTTGAAGACGATACTACTTTTGTGCCACCAGAATTTTTTTAATTTGATAGAAAAGCATTCTCATCTTTATTCTCTCACACTCATTTGAATACATGTGTAAACTATAGGTTTTCCCATGGCTGTTTTTCAGAGTAGTAATAGTCATGACTTAATGACTGACATTTATAGATACCCCTCTTACTCTGTTGCCCACCTTTACTGACAATGATTGATTTAAATAGGCATTGTTATTCAATGTTCAGCTTGAGAAAACTGAGGGTTACAGAGGTTGCTTGCCCAAAGTCCCAAAGCTCTTCAACATTGAGGATGAAATTGCACAGTGCTAAAGGTGCTCCTCACTGATCTCGCAATTTCCATGAAGCTGTATGTTAATCCCATGATAGACTTATAATGTGTGCTTATGGAATTTAATTCAAGAGATAAAGTCCAGTGTATCAGAAAAGACATGAAATTTAACATTGTAATGACACAATTCATAACAATAATTGACATTTGCTTAGCATCTACTATCTGTCAGGCACTCTTGAAAGTGTCTTATTCTCAGTATCTTAAGACTTCAGGTATGGCATTTATTAATCTGTAACCCTGAAAAGTTGTAATTATTGCAAGATAAGGAGACGAATCCCCATCTGAAGCAGAGGTGGGAATGAATGTGATATATTCAAACTCCAGCCAAGCAAGGACCTGATCTGTCTTGTTCATTGCTTTATTTCCTACTCCTGGAAAGAGTAATAAAGCAATAAAACAATAAAGCCCAGTACATAGTAGGCACTCAACAAATATTTGACAGAATTATAATAACACTGATTCATCCAGTCAACTAGGCATAATGTCACTTTTACTGGGTTATAGTGGTGGCCAAATGAGTAAATGAAAAGTGTACAAATATTATTCAAGATCCTTGTTTTTATTGTTTTGGGTTTAAACACCTGAGTGCTCCCCCTTTAAAAAAATACTAGATTAGATTCATTATTCTATATTCTTAGAGTATCCTGGGAACTTACTTTGATATGCCATTACAATGATAGTTTATTATTTGTGTACTCATTAAATTTCTGTTGTCTCAACTAGATTACAAGCTTTGTGAAGAAAGGGACTATATCACTAGTGTGTAGTAGGGGCTCAGTGGATGTTTGTTGATTGAATGAACGAGTGAATGGATATTACCCTAGAGACTATGTCCTGAGGCTGACAAAACTTAACCCTGAATAGAAACCGAATCACTTTATTCAAGTGAGTTCTCCCATTCTGTTCATCTATTTTATCATCTCCAGTCCCCTTCAGATTGTCCAAATTGCACTACCACTACCAGATTATCCCTCCAAAATATCAACTCAACTATACCATCCTTCTGTTAAGTATATACAATAACTCTCTATTCCAGTGATAAATAGATCCCAACTCTTAGTCTGGTAGCTCAACTGGTAAGAGCAGAAATGTATGGAGTGCAGGAAGCAAGTTGGCTGTAGTGTTCAGCATAACCTGGGCATT